CCAAGTACTTTACTTACTTAGCTACTACTAGGTACATTCTCAAAGAGTAAACTGTTTTTTTTTTTCTTCTTAGTAACATTAGGTACCTACGTACGCTACGTGTCATTGTACTTTCAGGTTTTTTGTTGATTTTTTTATGTAGGTAGACGTAGCAAAAAGTTTACTGATTTGTTCGTGTTCGGTAAATGACATCGCAAAAAGCAACTGAGAAAGTATGAAAAACAATATTGTGGACGGTGTTCACGTAGAAAATAGATACAATAAATTCTGAGCATTTCTTCAATTTAGTAACGAAATATTTCATAGATAACATAAAAATAACATTTTATTAATTCATAATCCATTATATTCTTGTCATTGTACTTAAAAACTGTAGAAAAACAACAAAAAACACCATAAAGAACAACAAAAAGCGGGCTCGTCCGGGATTTGAACCCGGGACCTCTCGCACCCAAAGCGAGAATCATACCCCTAGACCAACGAGCCACATTATGTTACGGCGAATTTAGCGATCGCTTCTGGCCGACAGTTACATTCACTTACGTCATTGTTGATAATGGATTATTTGCGGTGAAAGGCAGATAAGTTTCTAATATTGTACTTGTATACGTTCAAACAGTGGTTTGACTAAGTAATCGGTACTTTATGTAGTTTACAAAGCGTAACTAATGTTCCAGTTTGTGTAAATGCCATCAGATATTGTTTCCAGTTGGCAAATGGTGGCGTTATCTAAGCTGAAACCTTGACATTCAAACGTTATGGAAAGGAAAGTGGTATTTCCTGTTACGATTATGTCTCAATTATATTATACAAGCGTTGATCTGTTATTGCTACTGGTGTTTGTATAAAACTGCTTAGGTATATTGTTATTGTTATATCGCTTGTCTTTATTCTAATGGAAGACTAGATGCCTATCCACTCTTGTCTAACTATCTACACTAACTTGTCAACTGGTTTTTAAATATCGTAGCCTTCGGTATTAAGGTTTTATGCTACGCAACCTTGTGATAGTATAGTTAAAGGAATTTACACTTAAAAGTAAATATCAATAAGGTACGTATTAGATTACCTGTGGTTTATGCAAAATCTCCATATGAAAATATGTTTTATAAGATAATCAATATAGTATTTAGGTACTTCAAAAATCCTTCACTATTTGGTAAGTTGTTAAATAGGAAACTGAAACCTCAAACAAATAGACACCTTAAGCTCATATACATAATAAAAAATACTGTCATTGTTTACCTGGTCGTAATAACTTTACTGGGTCAAGGTGAGTTCAGCTCGGTGAGCTGACATCAGAACCAGGTGCTGACGTCACGAATGAATTTAAAATATTAATACTGCGAATAGCTCCATTAATACCCTGGTACCTTGGAATTGCTATGACCGGATAATTGTTACTAGATATGTACTAGTTACTAAGCCATTGTAGATTACATAGGTACTTTAATAGTTTACAATGATTTCGGTTTCATCCCCAACAGAAGGCAAAAACGAGAATAAGTAAAGTATAATCTATGTATTTTTTTTAAGGGGGGAAAATCATCCAGTGACTCAATGACTGCTCCCGCCTGGGTGAGGCGGGAGGGAGTGTCAGACTCTTACTTACTAAAACCACCTCGTTCCTTCTCCTGCACGTCGAGCCGTAGCCCCGGTAACCCGTTAGGTTCCTCAGTGACATAATCTATGTATTAGGGTTCATATTTCCGACATAATTACTTATTAGCAATTGGAAAAGTTATGGATTCAAATACCTACATACGGTAAAAGATGGGTTAACCTCCTTGACTGCCGGTATATAATGCACAACAGAAAATACAATGTGTCTCGCGTGGACCTGCGGCACACGATGAGTTAATTGTGTGGTGATGAAGATGATGAAAGATTTGGAAATCCGAGTTTGGAGAATGGAAACAGAAGACGTCATGTTGCGAAGACTATCTACATAGAACTTAGGAGAAATAGCTCTAGCCCTGTTACAAAAGGGTCACTAACATACATTTTATGTATAGCATCATAATCTGCATAATGTTGTGTTATTTAATACCAGATAGGTCCCTAACCTACCTACCAAGACCTTTAGTACACTTCCATGAAGGTAAGGCTCGTAAACCATGGACCTAATGAGGAACAGAGGTGTCCGATTGTTGTTCAGTCTGTAGTCGTAAATAACGCGGTCATTAACCCACGTCTTACTTGCTGGTCATGCCTACAGCCTAGCAATCACTGTGAAGTCCGATCCGAAGATTTAAAGATGGCGGTCGTGATGGCTGATAACGATATGATTAATTAAATGTGGTTATCGTGTTATTCCCAGAGAGGTTTCGTAGGCTGTACCTATGTTAGTAACGTCAGTAGGATCATGAAAGGTCCACGGCGATTTTTCGTGAATTAAATTATGAATGAGTAAAATATCATTGCATTATCTGTGCAGTGTTCTAAATAATAAGTCCATAATTATAGGCTATTCTGTAACTTTAAATTTGAAAGGTAGAAGTGAACTCGATCGCGGTCTACCATGTCATTGGTTGTGAGAATAACCTGGACCAATGACGGGTTAGAATGCGATCGAACTCACTTCGAAATTTCAAATTAACAGTTCAGAATAGCTAACAGTTTTTGCTTGTAAAACAAAAAAAGAGAACAGACGAATATCTTCACAGCCATTCTGCAGCTGCCGCGGATGGCCTAACGGGTTGCCGTGGCTCCGGCTCGAAGAGCAGGAGAAGGACGTGGTTGTTTTGAGTCAGTAAGATTCTGACACTTCATCTCGCCTAACCCAAGACGGGAGAAGTCATTGGATGATTTTCCCCTCGAAAAAGTCATTCTGCAGCTAAACTCAAATCACCTGCGTGAAGACTCTTAAGTGTACTGAGGTCATAGACAGAGCATCAATTAGATTAGAATCATAACGAAGCTTTATTAAATTACCTACTTACCTACACAATTCGCATCACCTCACTCAAGGCTCGCTAGATATAGACGTGATTTAAATAAAACGGTATGTGGTGTAGGTATGTATTATACCTATTACCTCCACTATCATACTACTACTACTCAAAGGCACAGGTAATACAGACAGAAGGCTTAGTATAAGTTTGTTTTACGTATAAAAAAACGAAACTATACCGGGTTCGGCGCTCTGATTAGTTGTTTCATTGGAACTGGCCAATTAGAGCGCCGAACGCGGTCTTGTTTCGCAAACTCGTACTAAGCCTTTTGGTCTCACAACTAGTCACAAGTTCACAACTATAATGACGACACTAAAAGGTGTAAGAGTAGAAATACAATTACCTTCCTAAGTACCTCTGTATTTTCTCATTGAGACTTTGACATTATCCGATCCGCTATAAATTCTATACTGCAATGAAGCACAATTACAATACAACACTGAACAATAATTTTGGTTTCCGTAATAAAATTAGTTAAATCATAGGTAATATTATAGGAGGAGTACTATAAAAAGAAATCGCTTAACCTTCATAGTTATGTAGTAGCATCTAAATGTACCTATGTATGTATGTACGTAAAATAAATATTATAGTACACGCATATAAGGTGGTCAGGTATGTCGTCAAAATAAAAGGTCTTGTTATGTCTCCATGTTATGTCTTATTATTTCAGAGACAATTGGAATATTTTTAAAATATCATAAAAGATGAATGCAGGCATTAAACAAAGCTCATCTTCTACCGGAGATGACATGGAATTACTCGTATTATCAATGATAGGTATGACTATTATTTTAATCATGGAATGTTTTTTTTTAAATCTCTGGGCCTCAGGTGCGCGTAATTCTTATGTGCATAGAATATCTAATATTAAATATCGTCTTTTCTTTACATCGTGATTGCTGAGTGGAATCAGTTATAACAAATTAATTATTTTTTTAAAACATATCTTTGCATGGCAAGTGAAGGCAAAATATGGAGAAACTGTAAATTTTGTTAACACCTATATATTATAATGTACCCATGTTTGCAAATGATTCAATAAATATGAATATGAATTAAGTAGGTATTCATTTATGTTCAAAAATTCTATCATTAACAATTAAAATCGAGTTATCGAAGATAAAACGTCACTAGGGACAGATTTTTATCTACCTTCCTATTATAGGTATATTAACTATATAAACTATAAAGACATAAAGACTTGAGTACAGTTACAGTCGATAAATAGGTCAATTTTAAATGGCACAAAGTAAGTAGGTATTACATCATAGAATTCATAGATATCGTAGGCGCATGAGGTCTAAATCAAGAAATACACATGTATCATCATCAACCTTTGACAGATCTAATAAAAGAAGAAATTGGCCACGCGTGCGCTTAATTTGTACTGTAAGTGAAGACGAATGCAATCAGTATGTTACAATTTGTTTGGCATATCAATTTATAAATGAAAATTAGTACTTACGTAAATATCACTTTCATAAGTTAGGTTAATTAAAATCATACAAGGAAATGGCATAATGTACAATAATTCTACATTTAATGTGAATTATTTTTATTTGGTTTACTTTTAGTAGGGCGACATCTAGACTACAATATGTAAACTACAACTAGTTTAAGAAAGCTACTTTACTATGTAATTTCACTACTCGATAAGAGATGGCGCTTCAAAATTTTTGTTACATGCCAACCAAATTCTTTTAGCATTTTTTTTTAAATACTACCCTACCCTATTACTAATAAACAATTTCCTACCTACGTATAATTAAGCTATTAAAACAATTTCTGCCGTTTAAGATAAAATGCAACAAGTAATGATAGTAAAAATTATATGTAATGTGTTCATTCATAGATTATAAAAACATTAATATTTTTAAATATGTAAAATAGTAAAGGAAATTGGAAATGAGAAATTTTCTTTTCTCAATTTGGCCACAAACAGTCGGTTAATTAACCAGTTTTCGAACTATTAAATAGTTTTTGTTTTTAAGAAAATATTATTTCATTCTGCTAATCCATAGCAGATGGCGCTGTACTAAATTATTACTTACCCATAACTCCAAGTTGCTGAGGTGATAACGGCGCAGCGTCTCCAGCTCCTGAACCAATGGATCCTGACGCAAGGGACAATCGTTCACTAAAGCCCAATGGACTGCTACGACCACCACTACTAGCTACCGATCCCATTCCTGAGGAAAAAGTTATTATCAAACCTCTTATCAAGATTGCTTTATAAGAGGGGTAAAATTTTGAATTCATAGTTAATTTATTTCTCCATGATATAACACTTATAATTATTGGATACATACATTCCTGTTACAATATTCTTTTATTTATTTGTCGCGCTGATAAACTAATTAGGTCTTCTGTTGAACTTTCAATATTTTTTTACTATTTATTTTTGATAGGAGCATTTTTATTTACTTTAAAATACGGTAAAATGTGGTGAATAGGCTAATATTTAAGCTGCTAAAAGGGAAACAAAAGGGGTGAATAGATATAAGGCATTTTTTCATAGCATCGATTCACCCCTCTTCTGTCCCTATTCACCTTTCAATCCCTATTCACCACATTTTACGGTATTTTATGTTTATTTGTGTTTAACTTTGTAATCATACATATCGAAACATGAAAAATTAACATTAAACTTAAATTACCTCCGTTCGGACTTCTCATTCGGGAGATTCTTTTATTAATGGCCCTTTGAATCCGAGGGTTTATTATAGGTTTGGCTCGTCGCCTGGCTAAATACCTTGATAGTACACCAACTACTACAGCACTTGTACCTACAACTCCTAAGCTCCATAGTACAACCTGGAAAGTAAAAACAGAAATAGGTAATACACAAATTATATCAAAAAATACTGCAAAGTATCTATGAATTTATTTTTACTATTAAGATCATTGCTATTACTACAGCACAGAGCTATACATACTCATGCACGCTTGACCCTGTAATTTGTACTTATTCACATCGCAAGTGACCTTTAAACTAGAAATTGTTTGATCACATTAGTTTCACATTTTGTTCCTTCATGTTTAGGTACTTATTATAACACCAGATGTATGTCCTAGAATTTGCAGTAGTTCTTATAGTTTACACAATTTAATCATTTAAATAATAATAGAAGCACTACATTGATACAAATTTGAATATTATTCCTCATAATACCATAATACTGACCTTCTGAGAAGTTGTTAACTGGACTTCATTAAAAGATATAGCTCGGTGCCAATGTTTTAATTTATCTATCAACGGACTAGCTTGTATCAACAGCTGCATGATTGAATATTTAATTAAATATACACTGTGTGAAAAGTCTCTTTTATCCTATTATTTACAACGCTGATATAATCACGGTTCTTTTAGGTTATCTGTCAAAACACCACTTTTGTCCAAAATATTTTTGAAACACTCTACAGCATCCTTGAGAGCAGTCAATAAAACTTATTTATTTATTTACTTATAGCAATGTAACTACGCATACAATTAATTATCGTATTATTGTCTACCGCATTAAATACAATTTTAAATATTCGCGCTTTCTTCATTCATGTCATTTTATGACAGATCAAGAGATCTATTCTATCTATGGAAATGGAAACACATGAAAAGTAAAGACAATACAAACGGTATTTTATGAATTTCGTTGTAAATACAACACTACAAAGTTTTCTTTAAACTTTGGCATCTTACTATGTTGTCAACTGTCATGCTTACCTAAAAACATCCAAATGTCATTAAGAGCACAAAATATTGTCAAATTCTGTCTTCAAATTCAATCAATTACAATTTACAATTCAAGAAATCTCAATGTTTTCAATTTGGAGTCCAAACATTTTGCCGATAATTCTCCTAATCAAAGTAATGTGATGAACAAAACATAATTAACTCACCTAATAAAAAAAATGGATGTTATTCACCAATCTTTGAGTCAGCAAACTTTGCAAAGCACCATTGAAGATCTTCCAGATGAAGTGTTGGAATTTATTTTGGGGTTTTTGCCACCTTACAAAGACTTACAAAATTGTATGATAGTTTGTAAACGGTGGTACAATTGTTCTCAAAGTAAGTGTAATGTTTCTTAATCGTTTTATTTTATCATTATGTTGCGATTTCATTAACCACTCATTTGTTTTTCAGATGTCTTACATAAAACATCAATAAAATTGATAAAAGCCGTGGGAGAGTTTAAAGTATTATGGAAAAATATAACTTCAACTGACATGGTGCCCACTATTACTAAAAGATTTTCACATGCTGCATGTGTACTTGAAAATAACATGTACATATTTGGAGGCTGCACAACTAATGCAACTTCGTTTAATGATCTCTGGAGGTTTGATTTATCCATTAGACAGTGGGTAAGACCCTTAGCTACTGGCACATATCCTGTACCAAAAGCATATACTTCAATGGTTCATTATAAAGACTGTTTAATAGTTTTTGGAGGGTGGACATATCCCTCACTCTCGCAATATTATCAAAATGTTACAATGTTCAATGAAATACACTTTTATTGTGTAAATACAAATAAATGGATCCTAATAAATGCAACAAACTGTCCTCCACCAATGGCAGGACATTCAGCATGTATGAAAGGTGATGAAATGGTTGTGTTTGGAGGATTAATTATGTCACCACTTCAAAATCATCAAATTCAATGCTCTAACGATGTGTGGGTTTTAGACATACCTACACTTACTTGGAGACTACAAGCCACAACTAAACCAAGGCCTGCACCAAGATATGCACAATCACTGATTAGTTTGGATTCAGACAGATTGATGCTCCTTGGTGGAGTTCAAACTTTACGTAACCGCTTTGTGTATAGTGATTGCTGGGTACTGACAATGAAAGGCCCAGTGTGGACATGGAAAGAACTGGCAGTCAAAAACAAAGAATGGGCTTCTGCTAACATATGGTGCAATCCTGCTTGCAGAGTTGGTGATAAGGTTGTGAGTTTAAGTAGAAGTAGAAATGGTTGGAATAGTGCTAAACCTTTAGTTACATCAGCAGTAAGGTTATCTGCACTGAGTAGACCAGAAGGAAACCCAATTTCAGTTAGAGTTGAGCAAAGTTTACAAAGACCTTTGGATAGGGATCAAAATATAAATGGTCGAAGAGGTGTATTGCCTAGACGACCATTAAACCCTCCCAGACAAGAACAAGTCAACCCTAATGATGAACCAGTTGCTGGTCCCAGTAATGAACATGAAAGAGAAAGGTCTCAACATCAAGCTGGCAATGAAAATCATTCTGATCAAAATGGCCTTGTTGGTGTCAATTCAGATGCAAAACAAAGCAATGGAATAGATATTAACAAAAAAGATTTGGCTTTGAGGAGAAATAAAAATAAGGTGAGTGGTCATTTGATATGTAAATTTTTAACTATCCAGGAATTAGTTGATGTTCAATATATAATAATATTATTTTGGTAATGTAACTCCCTTGTAACATTTCTATCTAATGACTTCTATTACTCATTGAACTTTTTATTTTCAGAATAAAGGAATGAAAATTGTAAGACAGCTGCAAGAAGCTAATAAGTACAGGATGGCAGCATTTGCTTGTGATACATCCCAAAATAATACAGCTCCAGAAAATGATCTCATAAATCAAAGACAAATAGCTCATTTAGAAAATAGAAGAGAACCATTGCCTTCTCCCCCTAATCCTCAACCAAGGCAACCTGCAGTAAAGAAAGTCAAACGGAATACTTTGACTATGCATGTTTTAGACATTTCAACCATAGTTGACGGTAATTCCCTCAATTATGTGGCATGGCTCTGTCCTCGTTTAGGTGAAATGACTGGAGCACCAGAAGAATTAGTTATGTATTCATTAGTGAAAGGAAATGGGGAACTAATAATGTTTGGTGGTGTTCACAATGATATCAGTATTTTAAATTATGCAGAGCATCAAAATATGTACTCAAATTCATTGCATTTTATTACACCACCCAGAGATATCATATAAACAGATGTGTAATTCAAAATGTTGCTTTATCTTTACTTTTTAATTTGTGTATATTTTCCTAGATAATTCTAGATATTTATACCTGCAGACTCTCTGACATTTTATGATTTAAGTTACAAATTGTTCAGTTATAGAGAATTTTCTTGTTTATCATGTTACAGTTGCAAAGTCAAACATTTGCTTTATATAACTAAGTCGCTATCTCAATTCTTCGCCACTAATCCTGTTCTATTTGTACTGTTTCTTAATATCAGCAATCTTAATAATAATGAAATGTGTTCTGTGATTTCTGTTGTAAATATGGCTTATTGTATATGTAACTAAGCTTATGATTAAAAGTTGATTTATTACTAAAGATTATTTAATTAATTAAAATTGCATTTATGATTACAAACAGTTCAGCTGTCTTTCATAAGTCCTCCGAAAACAGCTGCTGGAATTTCTTTTTTCTGAACAGGAGCAACTTCGCCTTCATCTTCACTGTTTTCAGAATCTTCATCAATGTCGATTTCATCAGGGTTGACAACTTTATCTCCACTTTCTTTAAGACCTTGTGTTTCACCACGCACAAATGCAATATTACCTTTACTTTGAACTGCCATTTCAGCAGCTTTGGCTTCTAACATTCTCATACCATCCTTCATTCCTGGGGCTAAGTCAGAAACTGTACCAGCCGCTTGTGCTGCTGAACTTAACATTTGGGCAGACATCATGTTGACTTGTGTGTTGTATGTAGCCTGAACACTTCGCTTAATCCTCAACATTTCTCTCATAGTATCTTCATTTCCATGTCTTACTTCAAATTCCTTCCATGTATTCCAAAACTCGGCAGTAATTCTAGGATCACACATTTGGCTACAATGAGCGTATATTGCTCGCGCTCTATCAATTTCGCCAAGACGTGTTTCCATTTCAGAAAAGCGAACACACATCTCTCTTGCTTTTTCGTCAGGAAGTGTTTCAATTGCTTTTTCGTATATTTGGCGTGTTTTTGGTACACCATAAATTTCAGCAGCTTTCTTAATATAAATATTAAACATTTCAAACATTTCTTCTGGTAGTACAGCAGTTGTCGCTCGTTCGTAAACAGCCATAGCATGTCTTGCTAGACCATGTTCTTCTTCTAATTTTGCATAAAGTAAAAATATAGATTTCGCAAATTGTGGTGGACAATTTTCCAGACATTGCTCAAATAAATCTCTGGCTCTTTCAAGTTTTGTACCTCCATATCTTTTGAGAAATTTTGTTAGGTAAGTATTCCAAATGTCATAAACATTAGGCCATTTAAATAATGCTATACCCTTCTCATAGGCTCTGAAAGCTTCTTCAAAGTAGTTGTGTTCCTCTAGGAAAAGACCATAGTTTATAATAATTTGTGGTGTTGCAATTTTTAAATCTATAATATGATCATATACTGCCTTGCAGGATTTATATGTACCAAAACTTTCTTCCAAGTCAGCATACATAGACCATACCTTCAAAGATTTGTATAATCTCATCTGTACTGTTTCAGTATCATCATGATATGCCACTTTTCTGCTAGGTAAAACAGTAGCCTTTTGCATGAGCTTGAGGGCCTCTTCATAGTTCTCATGTCGTATTTCCATTTCTGCCCATTCACACCATACTGATGCCAAATCATCAACTTTAGCGTAGTTAACTTGTGTTGCTTTTTCAAAAATAAGTCTTGCATCTTCTATTTGTTCATTTTTTTCATAAAATTTTGCAAATCCAACCCACAAAGTATATAATTTGCCTACAGCAAGTTTAGGATCTACTGTTTGCACGGCTTCAGTGTATGTATCAATAATTTCATGAGGTTTATCTTCATAAAGTTTAACTCGTTTGTGCCATTCTGCCACATTGTGTGGGTTTTGTCTCAGAAGTACAGAGTTGAGCAACAGTAGTCTTCGTTCCATAAGGTACTCAAATCGAGCAAGTCTTAGTTCTAGATCAATATCATCATCTTCAGTGGGGCTAGGCTTTTTAGCAACTTCTTCCATTTTCTTACTTAAACTAAGTTCTTCAAATTGAGCATATGCATCAAACACTTGTGTAAAGTCTCTAACTGTGGTAACTGTTTGAATAGCTTCTTCATAAATGTCTCTAGCTCTCTCGAATAAACCACTCCTTACATAGTAATCAGCCAGCGAATTCCATAAATGACCTAGTTGATCTGTATAGCGTCTTAGTCCACCTCTGATAATAGCATCTACATTCAGAGTATGGATTTGATCAGGGTTTTTAGATATAAGCTCACAAAGTTCATTCCAAAGTTGATGGTTTGATTTACCATGTTTTGATTGAAAGTTCTCATTATTTACTATTTGAGCTAATTTTACTGCAGCTTCATCCAATTTGTTTATAGAGATCAAATAATCAATATATTCTTCTGTATCTTCAGGACATAGCTTGAGGTACCTTCTAAACACCCTGACAGCTGTTTCAGAAATATCATGTTTTTTCAAGAAATTTAGATAAAGAGGCCATATTCTGTGATGTTGTGTTATAGGCAGAGCCCTTAAAGCACTATCAAATGCTTTCCTTGTTATAGTGATTTTACATTGATCAGTGAGAAAAGTGCAATAGTCCATCCAAATTCTAGGCATTTTATGCATGAATACCAAAGATCTTTCAAAACAATTGTTCACATCTTCAAAACAAGGGTCAGTGATACATTTCCCTCTAATTTGACTTCTTCGTAACTTTAGATAGTTATACCAAAGCTTAAATGATCCAGGCAACTCTTTCAGAGCTCTCTCATAGATCATGTTAATCTCATGTTTCGGAGCCGCTTTCTTATGTTCAATGTATCTTAGCCAGTGTTTTACTGAAAAAGGATTTCTCAAAATCTCCTCTTCATATGGCAAATCTTCTTCACTCTGAAAATTAAAATAATAACATTAATAGTTTACTCCAGAAAGCTGTTAGTAATCAAACAGATGTAAACAAGAAAAAGTACGTGCATAATAGGTATATGGGTTAAAATCCGTGTGATGTAAATAGTCTTATAAGAAAAATAGTTTATTGAATTAGGTATTTAAATATTAAGATTAACTTCTGTTTACTCTAAAAATAAAACTAATAGGTAAGCAACACTTACAAAAAATATGTCGATTTCTTTCCCGTCCAATAGTGGCATTTTGTACTGCAGATCAGAAAGCTCAGGTTAAACTTCAATATTCTCAGTAGACTGTTGTTAAAACAGCAAATTAACTTAAAAGCGATACAAACAAACAGAATAATAATTACTGAAACAGTATTTTCTATATAGGTTAGTTATTTTATCATTTATGACAAAAAGTCAATCAAAGAGTAGATGTAGAATAGTATGAGAATAGTTCACTCAGTTCATTCTTAGTTCATTGATATGTAGTGTGTAATCTATAACGAATCTAATGAATAACGTGCATTTGCTTCAAAAATATAGTAACAAAATAAATAATATTACTATTATATTGATACACATACGAGTTATTAACGTACTTAAAAAATAAAATTAAAGTATTGAAAATCATAAAATTTCATTGCTGTGGCAGTATGGCCATTGATCATTGCCGGTTTCGTATCAAAATCAAAGTGAAATGTCTTTGATTGACTTTTGACTTTGAATTTGACCATAAACAACAATAACAATGGCTGCTCTATTAGCACCGGTGGAAATGTGTGTTTTTAATCGCTTTTAGTTGTGTGAGACCGATGTGTTTTCTTTATAATGTCAAAACAAGGAAAAAGAAAAATTACTGTCGAATTACCGAAGTCAAAAGATCTAGCTAATAGACCTAGTGTTTTTGAGCGACTCGGTACCAAGAAATCTAGCGCTAAAAAAACAACTGAACATTGTAGACAGTGGGCACAAAACGGCAGTTGTGCTTACGGTAAAAGTTGTAAATTTGCATCAACTCATACGTTAATAAGTCCATCGAAGCAACGTGCTGCAAATAAAGATAGCGAACATAAACGTGTCATAAAAGATGATCCTAAGAGTAGACTTCATTCGACCGTCGTTGTGCGTTCAGGGCGCAGTCCAGATGGTGAAATCGACAATTGGGATCAAAATGACCTAGAATACGCAGATACAGACGTCCTTGAAAAAAGACGACAGCAACTGCAACGTGAGTTAGAGTTGCAATTGAAAATGGACTCTAATAAAGATATGCGCAAAGATAAAAAGAAAACGATGTCTAGCACATCATCTTCGCGAAGTTCTAGTTCTTCGAGCGTATCATCTTCTTCATCAGACAATAGCTCTTCATCTTCATCTTCTGGCAGGTATTTGTAAATTCTTTTTTTATTTTTTTTTGTTCAAAGTTTCTAAATTTAAGAAACATAGGTATGTCCCAATTTCATAAATTTGATGTACGTTTCTATTTCTTGCTATGTATGTATTATGTAGGTATTCTAAGATCTAATTTTGTTATAGAGAGGCAAGGCGAAAGGTAAAGAAGGGAAAACTTAAAAGGAATTCCAGTTCATCATCAGATGGTGATGCACCATCTAAAAAAAAGTTCATTAAAAATGATTCATTAAAGAGAGATAAAAGTGAGCCTAAGAAAACAGCTTCAAAAAAAGATGACAGGATTCTCAAAAAGCAAGAAACTGCTAAGAAGAAAACCGTTAATAAATCAACAATTGGAAAGAAATCACTATCACCAGGTAAGAAATCTGGTGGAACACCTCCTATAACAACAAAAAGCTTAGCAAAAAGTACCATAAAACATGGGAAGTCTCCTCCGAGGAGAGAGAGAAACAGAAGTGTTTCTCCTCATAGTGTTAGAGAGAGAGATAAAGATAGAGATCGTACTAAAGAAAAAGAAAGAGAGAAGGACCGGGAAAAGGAGCGCGACAAAGAAAAAGACCGTACTAGAGTTCGAAGTCGATCCCCAAGAAAAGCAAGATCTAGATCTCCAAGACAGCATTCTTCTCATTCTAAAGATATAAGGAAAAAAGAAAGTTCAGAGCGCAGTAGACCTGTCTCCCCTAAGAAACAAACTCGTCGTGATGGCAGTGTTGAAAGACATAGAAAGAGGTCTGCGAGTAGAGATAGGGATAGAGGACGTGATCATAAAGACAGATCATTGGAAAGAAGAAAAGATAAACATGATGATAAAGACAGACATGACAGAAAGGATAGAGGCCGTGATAGGAATAAGGATAATAAAAGAGATGATAGTAAGAGAAGAGGCAGAGATAGGGGCTTAGGAGGAAGAGGTGGGGCTGATAAAGGACTAGAAAAACCTAACAAGCCTATGGAAAGACTTCTTCCGAGACCAGAAGAACGTTTGGCTGCTTTAGCTGCAATTTCTAACAGAGCACTTGATATTGACAAAAATTCGTCAACATCTAAAGATCGGCAGGATTCACATTCTGAAAGAGGTGGTCGTAAGCAGGACAGGCTTGAAAGAGATCGTTCTACTAAAAGGGATAGGTTGGATAGCTTGGACAGAGATCAAGGTGACTATGAAATGGGTATGGAACGTCAATATGATAATGATCGCAACTTGGATCATTATGATAGAGTAGATGATCGATATGATGATGGTGCTAGAGAAGATGACAGGTCTCCAGGTTACAATATGCAGGGTCGGGATAGACATTATGATTCTGGTTATGATATAGCAGGACCTCCAAGGGGGTATCCTGAAGATGATGATAGGTTATATGGTGAACATATGGGTGAAAGGAGGGGTGTTGATATGGGTAAGAATGGTGTTTGTGTTTTGATTGTGTATAAAATGAGCCGAGAACATTCTGTCCTCTTTTTCCATAATTCCACTTTATTTTAAAGGTTATGATGATCGCCGACCTCATCGTGATCGCTCTTGGGAAGGCCGCTCTGGATCCATGGACCGTGAGCGTTATATACATCCTCATAAAGAATGGGATAATGATGACTATCGCCCAGGAGAATGGGGTCGTGAACGCCACTGGCAAATGCATGATCCACAGGTAATTATTTAGATTAATTTAGATATACATATTACATTACCTACATGTTAACATTCTAGTTTTATTTTCAAATAAAATTTTAATAACGATTTTTTTCTAATTCTGCTATAGGTGAGTTTATACTATCAAACTTTGTATCGGAATGAACCAATTGATTACCGTAAAGACAATAAAAATCCTTGTCCTATTCTGTCCCACCTATTCCTTGGCTGTCCTTATCCTCATTTTGGTATGTTAAAGTTAATAATATCAATTATTATTAAAATGTTTTGAATAATATAATTCAGTATACCTAACAAACTATGCAATTTTAGATGAACGAGTGGGGTGATAAAGAACCTGATGTGGATGCTTGGCACCATAGAGGCCATCCTCCTGGGCCCCATCGTGGACGAATGCATGGTGAGTGTGTTTAATGTGACCTAGCTAAATGTAAATACCAAAGTGTGTTTCACTTTATTTATGAGATTCTAATCTGCGAAAATGAATTCGTTATTTCAGATGATTATGGTCGTGGAATGCGAATGGATCTCGCTCGCGATGGTAATAAAAGACGTGCTCCCAGAAATGAACCCGAACAAACAGCTAAAGAAAGCCCATCCCCTGCTACACAAGCTCCACCAACAGCACCACCACGTCCGGAAGCTGAAGTTGATGATAAACCTATTCCTGATGATCTCAGTGAGATAAGTGATGACCCTGACGACATACTTAATAGAGAAGATGTAAGCCAATTTATATTTAATAATCATGATAATTTAATATCCATACAAGTTGCTACCATCCGTGCGTCACTACTGAAAATCAGTGCTGGGTAACCTGTATGCCTGGCTTATACTGAGTGGGTGACCCTTTTAGCATAGGCATGTTGTCAGCTTCTCTTTTCTAATTCTTCTGTTTCAATTTTTCAACTCTTATATTTTTATTACTTCCACTGTCACATCTTGATTGTCTTTTTTTATTTATGCTGCATCGTTCCTGGTGCTAAATAAATGTTTTTCTTTCTTTCTTTCTATGATTATTTGCTTAATATAATGTATTTCTTTTTGCAAATGATTGCCATTAAATTTTTGATTCAGATGGCAGATCAAATTATAGATGAAGACAGCCAAACTGCTTTGCCCAATGATGAAATTATGTCTAAGCCAGAAGTTTCTGAAAAAGAGTCTACTCAGGTATGTAATACTATATATTGATACAGCTTCATCTAAATCTTCTATATCTTAGAAGAAGTATAAGGAGGATCGATTGGAACATCTTCACTTGGCACCACAACCTACTGACTAATACAACAATTCTGTAATAACCATTTATCATTTCATATATTAGAATAGTGCTTTTGCTGTTTCTAGGATACAAGTGGTGCTGCTGAAGAAAAGGAGTCCCAAGATGCTAAAGATGATGAAGATGTTGCTAATTTAGACTTTGAGGAAATATCTGATGGAGAATTAGAAGAAGAACGCACAAGAGGTAGTTTAACACAATTTGGTTTTGACATTCAAATTGAAATGCGTAAATATAATGTTAAACGCTTTTTTTCAGCTGGCTTAGGTGATGCTCTTGGAGTTGATTGGGCTAGTTTAGTAGCAGATGTTCGTCGAAGAGAACAAACTGGGGTTTCCTCTGGCGGTGCTCGCGATCGTTGGAGACCGGAACGAGTTCTCGCTCGTCTTGGGCTTTCCTTAAATATGGCTGGAAAAGAAGTTGTCCAAGATGTTTTACATAAAAATGCCGAAAGTCTTGAGTCAGAAAAAAGAAAGCAAATGCAATCTTTAGAAAATTCTGATCAGAAAGATTCAATTGAACAGAATGGTATCCATGAAAATGAAACTAAAACAGAACCTGTGCCTGATGTTTCCACATTACACCCTGTTGCTGCCATTCAGGTCTGTACAGCATTTTCTTATTGCTTTTAATAAACAATTGCGAAATTTTGGGTTCAGACTTGTCCACAGTGCTATTTTGATCATTTATTTTTGGTTAGGTAGAAGTAATATATAATTTTTTACTATTTTAGGTGGCTGTGGAAAAGAGAAAGCGCCAGCGCGCTGTTTTATTTGGATCTGGTTGTGAAATAACTCGTGGGTTGAGTGCACGTCGAGATCTGGCACTAAGGCGATACTTATGTCATTTACCTACAGCTGAAAGGACAGGGCAATCCCGTGTGACACCACAACCCTCATTGTTCCATGCTGCTAGATCTTTACTGCTGCATGCTCCAGTCACAGGCTGACATTAACTTTTAACTTGAATATTCAGTGTTTAGACTAGACAAGAAATGAACTTACAGTGCAATATTCAAATATAATATTGTTTGTAAAAAGTGGTTATTAAATCTTTAGTAAAACTGGTGGATTGAAATACAATATACATACAGCTCTTCATAGCAGCTGATAGTGATAACTGTGGATTTTAAGTGGTTTTGTGGTATAGGTACTCTCATGGCACAATTGAAAAAGTGAAACAATAAAATACCTATTTGATGAACTACTCAAATTAGGACCAGACTGGATGATATAGGATAAGTGCATAGTGTTTTCAAGGCGTTATATTTTTGTTCCTCAACATCAAATAATTATATTTCTTTTCACTAAAATATTTTATTAATCAGTGTAATTGGCATAAGAACAAATAATATTATTATACTCCATACAAAAATAAAAAGTTTATCATTGGCCTCCTGCTCAATAATATAATAGATCTTGCAGCATCTAAAGTTCTTTATCTTGTTGAAATAAAAATGACACATCTGTATCTGGAGCAATAACCAAAGGTTTCTTGTCAGTCCTAAAAAACACAAGGGTTTATTATTTCTTAGGCAAAATAAAAAATACCACTGTACATAGTTGTGTAGTAATCACACTAACGTTATAAATGTGAAAGTTTGTTTGGATATTTGTCCATCAATCACACTGAAGTTACTGAATGGATTTTGATGAAATTTGGTATACAGGCAGGGTATGGGCTGACTTACATGATAGGATACTTTTTATCCAGATTAAATGCTTTCATGGAATAAAACAAGAATACGCGGACAAAGACGCGGGTAAAAGCTAGTCACATAAATTATAAGGTTATTAACTCTGACCAGCACAAAATGGTAGTGTGCTAGTATGATCAGTCTGGTAAGTTATATTTATTGGCTAACTAAGTTGTTTCAAATATAAATGATACTCACTTTTGGAATAGCACTGCACCAGCAATTCCTTTTATTGTCAATTTATGCCCATCAATATGCAACATTGACCCCTCTCTTAACCCTAGTACAGGGCTACAGTGAGCTGTCTCTAAATATTCATAAATTCTTTGGTCTCTTGTTTCACCTTTGTGTGTCTCACTAATGACATCAATATAATGAGGGTTGATATTGAAAGGCACAATGCCAATGGCTTCAAAAGTAGGCGGATACACTATTGGCATGTCATTTGTTGTATTAATGCTTTTAGTGGCAACATTAGTTCCAGCACTACTGCCAATATATACTAAGCTGCCTTCATGAACTCTATCTCTGATAACCTGAATTAGATTTTTTTCATAAAGTGTTTTCAAAAGGACAAATGTGTTGCCTCCCCCTACAAATATAGCCTTCGCGCAATTAATTCTTTCAATTAAATTGGTGTAGCTGTGTAATCCAGTTACAGCAAAACCCCATGGTTCAATAACTTCTTTTATTTTAGCCGTGTAACCATCATAGTCTTTTTGAGCAAATGGAATGAAGACTAACTCCGTGACATTATTCCTGAAATATTTTTTAAATTAAACATTTGCACAAAATTAACATGCTAATATATCAATGTATCATACATTGACTACTTACTTCTTGAGGATATTACATATTTCTTGTTTGGCGAACTCTAAGATCGAATACCCGTGACAATTTGATGATGATAGTAATAAAGCTTGTCGCTGCGGTGCCATGGTTGTCGAAATTGAAGTTGAAACAAAAGTTCTCAGCCGTTTAGTTCTCAAAAAGGTACTGAGCTTGTTGATTCCAGGCGAATACTGATATGAAAGTTGATAAAGCAGTCTGAAATAGGGCATTATCTTGAGAAAAATTCTTGACGTTATCAAACGAACAATTATTTTCTTATCAGTTAATAGAGGTGTAAAATATCATATCACATGAGACGAAAAACCTATTTATTTTCTTGTTTACAACCTATTGATCTTATTAAACTATTAAAAGACATAGTAAACAACAAAACTAACCGATTCGTATTTTATTTTTATACCTTGATTGATGATGACATTTAAAATTTTGTTACTTTGACACTGACAATGTTTGACAGTGATACTGACTGATGTACGCTGTGTTCGGAAGTTTTAATTTGACATTTTTTGGTAATGCAAGGTAAATAGTGAATATTACCACAATTGCCGAGGAAACTTGTGAAAATATAACAAAATAAAAATATGTTAATTTAGAATGTGTAAATATAGGTAAATGATCAAGTTTTATAAAACAAAGTAATGAACATTCAACATTATTTTGAGATGCTAAAGTGTTTATATTTATGACTAGGGGCCAATATGAGCATTGTCCTTTGGTGTAATTCACTATATTATTATTATCTAGTTATCAATAATTCCATGTTAGCGGTTAGCGTTTTTGTAATGTAGACACATTCTTTGGTACAAGTCTTTGGACTCATCCTTCACGATAATTTATACCATGAACATGGACATAACGGACAATGGACATCCGGGGTTGCGGATAAGTCTATTTTAATAACTACTAATAAGTTACCCTGACGTCCACGCTCGGAGCAGGAGTTGGAACAGGGTGGTTTTTCAATTTTTCTTCGTCAAAAGGCATTTTATTATTGGCTATGGTATTTACAGTCTATATAGTAGGGATATGGGTATTTGTAGGTAGGAAAAGGGATTTTTATTTTATAATAAAACTCATGTTAAAATAATACCTATACCTACATTTTATTTTATTTTTTGATGGGGAAGATTAAAATAGAGGGTAGCACCGTATGACTTCCCTGGTAAGGTCAATCAAAAAATATTTATATAAATGGTAAGTAGTTACTAGGTAGGTACTAGTTGTAGTTTCAAACGTAGGTATTTTTATTCATCATTCATCTAGCTTATTCTTCTAAAATAATTGCATTTTTCATTGCTTCATTAAAATCTTCTGAATTAGGCTTCATGATGGTTTATTTAACATTTCTTAAAATCATTAAACATTTTTTTACGTACAAAATAAACTTAGATAAATTGTCTATCACATTAAACATCAAGGATGAAGAATCTTTCTTCTTGGGGTTTATCACAGCCTGGACCAAGATAACGGCGCCTCAGTTCTAGGTCTGGTGGCGCGGAAATGTCGCCTTGGAGTATATTGTAGGCTTGTTCTATGGTGCTCTCAATCTCAGATTTGATTTCCTGTAACAGAAATATTTATTGTTGTTCTATAAATAATGTAAGAAAGGATTAAAAAGCGTAGGTAGCCTCGAACCTAGCACCAGAGGTAGGTAAGCAGATTCTTTTTGACGTTGCTATCTTTCTGTCGTGTCGTGTTCGTTATCATTAGGATAAGCTGGATAAGGTACCTATATGTAAGAAAGAAAAAGTCGTAACATTCACATATTTTGTACGAAATAGCTCCGGGGTGAAGCTGGGGGTACCTATAGAAAATAAGGTATTGTACCTCATACAGGTCTGGCGAGCGCCTGGCGCGCTCTGCCAGTGCGGCGTGCAGGTGGTATAGCAACAGGCCTCGCAGGTGCGCGTCTCCCACGCCCAGCGCCGCCACCGTACGCAGCGTGCCGCGGCACAGACTCTCTTTCAGCGCCAGGCGAGACTCCGACAGCTCTGAAATATTTAGATATTTACTTGAATGTCGAATAACGAAGCCCCGAATCAAACTTAAAATAAACATATAGGAAGTTTTATATTGTATTGGATGTGTGTAGGTTAAGTACTTAATTAATTGCATAGAATCTTGTGAACTTCTTAAATTAAGTGATTGCTGTGAGGTCTTACAAATATTACTTATAATCAGTTGGATACCATCACACAAGTGGTTCTTTTTAATCAAAATAGGTAGTAAGCAGAGGTGTGTATATAGCCTAACTGTTAGCACCTGCTTTTTACCAGTTATGAGCCTTATGGTCTTCATGCACCCATTTGTACCTTTATTATTTTTTGGGAAACACGAGTAAATTTTTTATCGAACTAAGTAGGTACTTGGGTATACTTTGCCTCACTTAATTAATAACTTGGATTCGAACCCAAATCCCCGAGCTACTCTGAATCTCGCTTTGTTGTAGGTAACTCGGTTGTCATTGTACCTACCGGTGTGCTTATTGATTGGATTCTTGTAAAGGCGTTAAAGGGTTTTATTGAAAAAGGTAATTAAGTTACATAACTATGATTTTTATGATGGATAGGTGCAGTTTATTGACCTATTCAACATCCGGCATGAATAAATGAACCAATGGAACAATAAGGTAACTTCTGTGAAAAGTAGATAAGTTTCATATCACAATTGTCTGAAAACAATGGACGTATGTGACAAACTAATCGATTCTCAATACTTCAATGTTGGCGAAGAAATAGAAATAGTTGGCAGAATAGAAATTGCAGACCTTCATCGATAGGTGTAACGGCACAACGCCAAGTCCGACGCTCGATGTGAATGCTGAGTAGCAGTTTTAAGGGCACTCATATCTAGCGTGTCCTATTTAACGCCACATACATGGAATATTAGGTTCATATACAAGGCACAAGTCTCCACACTCACAGGCAGCGCTTAGATGCAGTTCGTTATCAACGCCAAAATATTTAATAACATTTTCCACGCGTTTGGCAGTGACGAGCGGATAAAATAAGTTGGGCGTTATATTGAATAATAGAGGTACTAACGGTACAGGTAGGCAGATCCACCTGGTGACGACGTGAGGACGAGCGTTCCTAGCCGCGGCGCCCATGTCAATCGGCGGTCAATCGTACTACTGCCCCTCACGATAATATCGTCCCCGATTTTATTCACTTGTTGCGTAGTAGTCGTCGCATGCCGCACACCACACGTTATTCTGAACTCACAATGAAATGCTAACTAGGTACATTCGGCACGAGCCTTTAAAGTTTTACGTATTTGCTTTTACGGAATGACGCAGTTACAAATGCGCGAATAATATATAAGGAGCGTAATTATGTAGGTAGGTACGTATATAATAACTCTTCATGTTACTTCTAAAATAGATGACATACCTAAAATATTACCTACTTACTGAAACATGTTTACCTACACGCGTAGTTGTATGCGTTGATATATGCGCATTTGCACTTGCAGAAGGAGTATTTTATTTCCTTTAATGGTTTACAAAGAGTAATTAATTCTCTAACAAGATTACAAAATTGAATAAAATTATACGTAGGTACGTATTAGTAGGTAGTATTTCTGTAGCATATTTTAACTAATATTATAATGTACAGGTATGCACATAACGCAGTGGTACAAGTTACTCAATATAATTTTCCATGTTGTTTCCTGATAAACAGTTGCTAATGATATGTATTTTGCAAAGTATACATAACTGGCAGGAGTACGAACAGTGCTATCTGCCCCGAATGTGCAGCAGCCGTGACGTATTAATTCGAACGCGATGTTACGAGTACCTGCGTCACACATTGCGTTTCCATTGCAATATGCAGTTCGTAAATATGAAAATAAACGATATAAAAGAATCAGGAAAAGCAAACCGAAATAAAATACTGATTTTTATTTTTGGACTACGAGAAATTTTAATTCATTATTTAATCAAGCCTTATTATTTAAGTACCTATGCCTAATAGGAACCGAATTTAATTTACATATTATGATGTAAAATTTGTCGAAATAAATAAATAAGGACTAAAATAGTTCCTACGAACCTATATACATATGAATAGTTCCTACGCAACAGACGTGTTACCTACTATATCAAAGATTAAAGTTCTCGTTAGACAATGAAAACAAGTTAGAATGACGTAACAATTATTTCGAACACCTTTTTTATTTTTATCAACGGATTAATTAGTGCCTTTCTTTATTTATTTTCATCTCAAAAATTACAAAAAGAATTTTAATTAAGCAACAATAATGGATTTTAATTACCATCGTACATTTTTGTCTCTGCTAATGCGCCATTTTGTGTTGTAATTGTGGTATAAAATTATTTCAATTAATGTCCATTAATTATGCGGTTAGTTGGTTTCCGACATGAGTTGATGAGTGTAGATAGAGTTCAAAATTAAGTTTCGCCACATTATTTGGTTAGGTACTACGAAGTCTTTACAAATTATAATTTGTCGTAAGAACTGACTAACGAACGAAATTTATTACCGATTTTATCGGAAATCTTTAGATTGAGATCGATTTTAGACATTAGTTAGGAGAGGTTCGTAGCACTAGACCTATCACTAAGTAATTGACTGCCACAACCAGTTGACAATGATTAATTATACATATACCTTAGTTTGATAAGAATTTCTTAATCAAAATTACTTTATGGATAGGAGCATTTTTCAGGACTACACTAGCGTAGCCACACTGACTTGCACACAAGAATTAAGTTAAGATTTTATTTTCAGTGATTACTATTTTAATATAATCAACGTAAGTTCAATAACATCCCACGAAATCATTTAATACAATTTGTCATTTGTTAAATACATTTCATTTACGATCTCAACCGATTCAAAATATTGGCATTGTTCCATGACTAAGACAACATTGTATGAACATAATAATAACAATTTTCATGTAAGAGAAAGCAGGTTTAATTTCTTACCAAATTATGATTTTTATTTTTTTGATAGATTATGAAAAGCTGTAGGCTGTTCCTTACGTATGTACATACGTAATATCCGTATGTTATGATTAGACATATGAATGTGATAGTAGCTAAAGAAGCACTATAAACGGAGTGTGGAAATAGTGCATAGCAGCGTAACATAGCATTAAGTATATATTATATTATTATAGTTAAGTAGCCTATCAATCAAATGTATCGTAAATATTTAATACCAGATGTATATTGTTAAAA